CAGATTTTCTTCCTTTAATAAAGCTTGAACAGTACCCAGCATCTCAGCTCACTTTCTTTCATTGACAGACTCCAGTCTTCCTTCCAGTGATATGAATTAAGTTAATGAAAACTCAGGGAAAGGCCCAGAAGTAATTGTCTTCTTTGGCAGGTCCAAACTTTAGGCGGATAAGGAAACAGTTTCATCCTGCGCTTTGGAGAGTGACAGAGGTTGAGAGACAGAAGATAGGAGTAAGGTCAGAGAGATCTTGAGGCTGCCAAGAGCCATATGTTGGAGTAACCGCTTTCTGCACCCTAGCAATGGTAACTGAGAGTGGTGCTAATGCCCTAAATTTGATCACACTCGCAGCTAGGTGAGAGCTTGCCCAAGTGGGGGGAATTGTTAAATAAAATTAGAGGAGACCATTGTTTTAGACTAAGCTCCTGCATTAGGTCCCAACAGAGGAGACTAAAAAACCAAAACGGAGTTATCCCTGTTAAATTTCCAGTCGCCAAACTTAAACTAAGTAATTATCTGACCTTCCCAGAAATCAGAAGAGATTACAGCTACTTTACCTAACAGGCCAGTAGGTGTGATAATGAAGTTTCCTCTGCTTTAATTCTTACACAATAGAGATAGCCTGAAGTAATCTGTAAAATAAAATAAAATAAATAAAATGGTTACCCCCCCCACACACACACAAAAGGAAAAAACAACAAAATAAAGAAAATAAATATATAAATAAATAAAATTGCTAACAAACCCAAGTCCAGCTGCCTAACCCAAACAAAAAACAAATGACTCAAAAGTTAAATGTAAGTGAAAATGGAAGCCATATTTGTTCAGGAATACTGAAAACCTGAGGGAGATGTTAGGCTCTACGAACTCCCCAGCAAACCTGAAGAAGACGGCCAGACTAAAACCCTCTCAAAGACTCTGATTTACTTCGGGGGTTTTTAAAGAGGAGATTTAGGGAATGGAATGTGGGAAGTAAAAAGCAGGAGGGAGAGTGCCAGGTGTCTGGTTTTCCTGGCCTTTGTTCTTATTCTTGATGTTATCTTAGGGCCCTGCAGGATTTTGCTTTGAGGTGGAATCAGTATAGCTTTATGGATGGATGTCTTCCTTGGTGTCTCAGGGTCTCAGTTGTAGTGATAGTAGTGTCTCATGGCAAGTTTGCAGCTCCAGGCTGACTGGAAAACAACTTTACATTTGTGGAGATGTCATCTTGCCCTGAAACCAAGGTTCAAAATATCAAACACAGAGAAGTGCACACTAAGAAAAACACTGTTTTTAAAATTTTTTCTACAGCTTACCTGGTTTTAGGTCCCAGGGTGGCTTCAGTCCTGCTCACTCCAACAAAACCAACTTCTTTTAAAAGTTATTCTGTTATTCATGGAATAACGTGTTGCCTTGTTCTAGAATCATAATAAAGCCAACGGAGACATTTAACTAAATTTGTTGTTATTCTGTCCTTTGACACAGCATTGTTGATATTTCAAGTGTCCCTATAAAAAGAATGGTTGAGTCTAGCCAGTTAGTTCAGTGGGTTAGAGTGTGGCTCAAGGGTTTGGATCCCCACACAGGCCAGCTGTCAAGAAAAAAAGAATGGTTGAATAAACTATGATATATCCATACAATAAAATAATCTTTAAAAAAGAAAGAAAGAGGCTACTTTTACATAGTGATATGCAGAGATTTCCGGGATACATTGTTAGGTATAAGAAGTGGGAGGATAAAAATATATATTCACAATTACTTGTACTTAAATAAAACAGTGGAATATTCAAGAAACTGATAAAGTAAGTTACTCACAGGAGAAAAAGAACAGGATGAAAAGAGACAGGATGCACATGAGACTTCCCATACCTTTTGATTTTTGAGCAAATGAATGTATTGCCAATTTTTAAAAATAAAGTAATTTTTTAAATAGGCTAGTGTTGTAGAACCACAAATTGGGGTGTTGGCCTATATCCTCATATGTTATTAGTAATTTTCATTGATCTTTGAGCATCTTATACCTATTTCCTACAAAGTAACGTGTATCACATTGTGCAGGGGTCAGTGGCAAAGACTCAAGGTTTGCTCATTTTTGCCAAGGCTAGCATGGGAAAAAACCGCCAGGACTTTTAGCTAAAATCATAGTCTTTTACACATACATCCTGGGTTCTCAAGACATCAAAGACAATCTTAAAACATCTAAAAGATTAATTTCAACTGGATTAGACAAAAAGGGAAAAGGGCTGTCCGGTTAGTTCCGTTGATAGAGCACAGTGTTACAATACCAAGATCAAGGGTTCGGATCTCTGTACCAGCCAGCCGCCAAAAAAAAAAAAAAAAAAAAAAGAAAGAGAGAAGCAATGCTGTGATTGGGTGTTGACTTCTCAGTAAGAAGTCCCAGAGGTAGGACTTACAAGTTGTGGGGAAGGGCATGAGTTAGAAGCTGCAGCACAGGTGAAGGGAATTCAGATAGGGTAAGAATAATCAAAAAATGAGAACAATGCACCAAGTCCTGTGCTGAATCTTTGAGTATGCAATCTCCTTTATTCCTCATAACAGCCTTGAAATGGATGGTATTATTTTATTTTACAGATCATAAAACAGGCCAAAAAGATCCAAGAAACTTGCCACAAATCCCATAGCTAGGTAGTGGGACTGCACAGCCCTGTTCCTGGACTGGGGCACTACACCACCTGAGATGAGCTGTTCAAGAGCATTGACCCACCACAGAGGAGGAAAATAGAGAAAAGGAGGGAAGGGGACAGAGGCTGAGTTCTGCCAGCTCCCCTCTTTTCCCTCAAACACGTCTTCCTCCCCGCCATGTTAAAAAAGTCCTGACTGCTGTCCTTATGGTACATGAAATATGCATTATTCAATATTATACTATCCTATATATAGTATAATATATGTATATATTATTTAATATTAAATACAAATGGTCCCCGACTTAGCAATGGTTCGACTTAATGATTTTCTACTTTATGATGGTGAGAAAGTTACACATATTCAGTAGAAACCATATTTCAGTACAGTATTCAATGGATTACATAAAATAGGGGCTGGCCCCGTGGCGCACTCGGGAGAGTGTGGCGCTGGGAGCGCAGCAACGCTCCCGCCACGGGTTCGGATCCTATATAGGGATGGCCCGTTTGCTCACTTGGGTGAGCGTGGTGCTGACAACACCAAGTCAAGGGTTAAGATCCCCTTACCAGTCATCTTTTTAAAAATAAAATAAAATAGGCTGTGTGTTAGATGATTTTGTCCAACTGTAGGCTAATATAAGTGTTCTGAGCACACTTAAAGTACGCTAGGCTAAGCTATGATGTTCAGTAGGTTAGGTGTATTAAACGTATTTTCGACTTTCAGTATTTTCATCTTAGGGTGGGTTTATCAGGATATAATCCCACCATAAGTGGAGGAGCATCTGTAATTTGGAAGACAGCTAGCTATTCCTTAACAACTCTTTTCCCATAAAACACAAAACAAAATAAACAAATATTGTTGTATAATAAAGCACATTTTACAGAGTTATAATCAGTATGCACACTAGAGCGAGAGCTACTTTCCCAATCTTAGCCATCCCAGATATGCTTGACCAATTTTTTCCCAAATACTGGACTTTGGGGCAGTTGTCCGATTGCTCTTTTTGACACTTTGCTTTCCCACGGAGATAGATTTCTGTGGTCAGGGCTGCTATGTCAACGCAGGAAGATACTATACACACGACTCCGACAGAAAAGACACTTTGCTAACCTAGGATCTGAGGACGCCCCCAGATCCAGCGCCCCGGCACGCACACCGCCGGTGGCTGCAGGCATCGAAGGCGGGTGGCGGGCGGTCACCGCTGATTGGCTTGGGCGGCAGCCAAGGGCGGCGCGGCCTTCAGGGATTTCCGGAGGGTGATTGGCTGCTGGAGACTCGCCCCTCTCGCCGACTGGGCGGGCCAACGAAGCCCGGATTGGTGGAGCCGGAAAAGCTGGCTCAATTGCACCTCTGGCTCCCGCTGCAAGGCAGAGATGGCGACTGCGACTCGGCTGCTTGGGCGGCGTGTGGCGAGGTGGCGGCCGCGGCCGGCGCTGCCGTCAATTGCACCTCTGGCTCCCGCTGCAAGGCAGAGATGGCGACTGCGACTCGGCTGCTTGGGCGGCGTGTGGCGAGCTGGCGGCCGTGGCCGCCGCTGTCGCCGCTTGCCGGCCTTGTTTCCCAGCGGGCCCACTCGCTGTTGCCGGTGGACGACGCGATCAACGGGCTGAGCGAGGAACAGAAGCAGGTAGGGAGATGTCCTGCTTCCCGGCCTCAAGGCCGCGGTCCCGGCTATATCGTCCCTGGTCCGTGGTCACTTCTGCGCTCTCCTGCCCAGCACCCATGCAACCGCGGCTTGTGCCCGCCGGGCCGTGAGAGCACCAACCTGGGGGCGGGGGCGGGACACTCGTCCTCTCCCTTTGTGCTCTGGCCTCTGACCTCAGCCTCACCTCTGTGGCGGGAAGATTTGCGAGCAAGGCACGGCTGCCAGAAGCAGAAAGCAGGAGTAGGCTAGGAAAGCTCCTGGGAGACTGATGGTGTTTTGGTGAAGGACTGGCTGGGGCTACCGCTAGTGGCCAAAGGGCTCTCGATCTGTATGTAGTCCACTTGTACCTGAACACGGCCTAAGGCTATGGTTCTCAGAGGCTAGCCTGTTGATCATCAAAATCACCAGGGAATCTTTTTTGATTCCCGTAATCAACAGGGATTGTTTTGTTTTGTTTTGTTTGCAGGTAGCGAATAAGGAGATCTGAACCCTGGTGTCATAGGGCTGCGCTCTAAGCAATTGAGCTAACCAGCCAGCAGCGCTCCAGGGATTTAGAAATGCAGTGTGATCTGCTGTCATTCTTAAGCCCATTGGGTCCAAAGCACAAAGTTGAACAAGAACTTGAAAAATGTAGTTATAAATGGAGTGGAACCAGAGCCCTTGCAGAACAGAGTCTGTTGGCTTGGAGGCTGGATGAAGTGCCAAGAAATGTCCTTCTCCTGTAGCTCCAAGTGTGTTCGTGAGCCTCCCAGGAACTCCAGTCTGTTCTGGTTTATAGTTAGCAGCTAGTTTTTTTGAATCACCCGAGGCAAAAAGAGTTCAATCCCATATCTCAAGCTTCCTGCCAAGAGGAATTTATAAACTTTGAGTAATCCCTTCATTTTGAGGCTCAGGGTCAGAAGAGCCTGACACACGCCTAGAACTGAAGGGGGCGTGGCTGGAGGACAGTGAGTGGGGGTGAAAAGGTACTGGGGAAGGATGGAAGGGTCAGCCGGAGTCAGTTCATGCAGGGCCTTGTAGGCCTGGGTAAGGGGCTTGTGTTTTATTCCAAGTACAATGGAAAACCATGAAATGATTTTATGCAGGGGAGTGACTTTTTAAAAATCATCTTTAAGTTTTCTAGACCGAGGATCTTAAGAAAGAAGGGTAAAAACATCTCTCAGGAAGCATAAACTAGTGAGGTCTCTAAGTTTCAGTGTGATGCTGTTTGGTGAGGTTACTTGTGGCCTTTTTCTCTGAATATGTCCTCGGTTGTAGAGATGCTGCCCTCAGTGGCCATTATGTGCTAGTTTCAGCAGCATCTGTCCATATTTCTCCCTCTAGCTTCGTCAGACCATGGCTAAATTCCTTCAGGAACACCTGGCCCCCAAGGCCCAGGAGATTGATCAAAGTAACGAGTTCAAGAACCTGCGGGTGAGTTGTCAGGCCCGGGCAGGGGGCCATCTGGGAGCTGAGTTGAGTTGCATTGCTGCTTGGAAAGGCTCATACAGTTTTCTGGTAAATGAAGCCCCCCTAAGAATGCAGCCCCTCTCCCTGAAGCATTTGGGTCACATTGTTGTAGCCACATGTGACTGGCTGCCTTCTCACAAGGTACTGTACTCCATTCTTTCTGTTGGCAGGAGTTTTGGAAGCAGTTGGGGAGTCTGGGAGTACTGGGCATCACAGCCCCTGGTGAGTACAGTTTCTGTCCCTAAAGAGAACCTTTCTTGTGTGCCCTTTAACATGGTTCCCAAAAGAAGCAGGAAGGGAAGAGAAAGATTGGTACAAAGAGACCTGGAACTTCTTCCGCCTTGGACTGTCAGCCCAGAAAAGAGGACATTCTTCTTTTCTGATAGGCTGCTGGGAACTCCAAAACAAGAGTCTTCCTCCTATTGTGTCTTGAGGGGTTATGAACCCCCATTGAGAATATGTTTCTCAATCAGATTGTATTTAATGGAAGAAAGAGGCAATTAGAAATCAGATGAAAACCCCTTTCAAAGGGGAGCTTTGGAAAGCAAGCCAGATACGAGTTCTGGTTTCTGCATGATGTCCAGGTGGCTGTTTCTCATGTCACCATCTTTGGGCTTTCCTTACTGGAGTTGTAGGACTGGGGCTAAGCTTTCCCTGGATCCTAGGACCAGCCTGACTTCTTGGTCAGTGTGAACATGTGCAGAGGGCCTTACTATACCCAGACAGTGGGACAAGATGACCCAGCCGCCTTGATTTTGGATCTGCTGCCAAAGAAAATTTCCATTTTTAACGGGTAGTTCTGTGATTCCTGACCAGCATCTCTGCTGCACAGCCCACCTCCAGACCTTGCCTCAGGCTGTGGCTCTCCTGGCCTGTTGCCAGTCATTGCTTCTCTGGATCCAAACCTAAGCTATAAAACCTCACCTTCCTAGGCATTTTGCACATACATTCTTGGCTTTGTGTCTGTTCTTGGTACTTTGGACACCCTGCCCCCCAACCTTTGTGCGTCTCTGTTAAATTCTAGGCCCTCTTTCTTCATTTATTCAACTGCCTCTGCACTTCTGTAACTTTCTGAATAGTGGGTGCTTAGATTGTTTTCTTGTCTTCATTAAGGGGTCTGTCTGGGATAAAGCAGGAGTTGCAATGGTTGTTTTCTGAACCACACCACAGCTAACCAGCAGCAGCAGGCAAAACTGTTTCTGTGAGCTTATAAGGAGAGTCCATATTATCAGCTTGTCAGCCTTGCTAGGGGAAACTTGGAATCATTGCTACAAAGGTATTTTTTTTTTCTGCCAATAAATGCAAGATTCCTGTCAGTGCCCCTGTTTAATCTTGGCTGCCTTTTCCACTCCTGTGTATTACCCACACTCCCAGTTCAGTATGGCGGCTCCGACCTGGGCTACCTGGAACATGTGCTGGTGATGGAGGAGATATCCCGAGCTTCTGGAGCAGTGGGGCTCAGTTATGGTGCCCACTCCAACCTCTGCATCAACCAAATTGTGCGCAATGGGAATGAGGCCCAGAAGGAGAAGTATCTCCCCAAGGTGAGGAAATGAAATGAAGAAGCACACGCTGATCTCACAGTGCAAACACCAACTACGAGGCATCCTCTCCTCATTGGAAGAGGCCAGTCAGACTTGCTTTCTGTAGTATGCTGCCATAAACAAATATAGCTAGGAAGCACCAAGGGGTTGCTTTAAAATACAAAAAAGTTAAAAATAGGGCCAGAATTCCTGAGTTGGACAGCAAACAGACATTTGAAGAGCATGTTAAGAAATGGAAAGCTACGGGCCGGCCTGTGGCTCACTCAGGTGAGTGTGGTTCTGATAACGCCAAGGCCATGGGTTCAGATCCCATATAGGGACAGCCGGTTAGCTCACTGGGTGAGCATGGTGCTGACAACACCAAGTCAAGTGTTAAGATCCCCTTACCGGTCATCTTTAAAAAAAAAAAGAAATGGAAAGCTACGGGCCGGCCTGTGGCTCACTCAGGTGAGTGTGGTTCTGATAACGCCAAGGCCATGGGTTCAGATCCCATATAGGGACAGCCGGTTAGCTCACTGGGTGAGCATGGTGCTGACAACACCAAGTCAAGTGTTAAGATCCCCTTACCGGTCATCTTTAAAAAAAAAAAGAAATGGAAAGCTAGGACCAGCTTTCCTTGCAAAGGGAATGGAAAAAAGGAGAAGCATTTTCAGCCTTGTAGATTTTGGGCTTCTCTTCTAGGACTTTATCAGTACCCTGATCTGAGAGAGGAGTTTGAAGGGGCATAATGCAAAGAGGAAGAAGCAATATCAGTGAGCTGCTGTAGGGTGCTTCTGAGGTCCTAACAAGGCCTGTTGGGGTTTTCCTTGTAGCTGATCAGTGGTGAGTACATCGGAGCCCTGGCCATGAGTGAGCCCAATGCTGGCTCTGATGTCGTGTCCATGAAGCTAAAAGCTGAAAAGAAAGGTGAGGCACCTCTTGACTTAGGGGCCAGAATGGGCAGAGGGACAGACCTTGTCAGGGTGAGGAGACACAATTGGAGTTGGCCCCTGCTGGGTTGCCAGAACTTTCTCAGGGCAGCTCTTTGCTCAGCAGAAGGTCTATAGATGTACTGGCTGAGAAAGGTCAAGAAGGCTTGAGTCAATAGCCAATGTCTTGCTCTTAGGAGATTACTACATCCTGAATGGCAACAAGTTCTGGATCACCAATGGCCCTGATGCTGATGTCCTTATTGTCTATGCCAAGACAGACCTGGCTGCTGTGCCAGCTTCTCGGGGCATCACAGCCTTCATCGTGGAGAAGGTGAGTGTAGCTGGGTGTGTGGCCTGGGAGGCTTCTGTCTCCTGACAGTGGTACCTGAGATGGCTCTCTTCCACTGATCGCCCACACGATCAATGTAGTGTGCTGTGCAAGATTTCCACGGTGGACATGAGGCAGAGGAGTCTTTAAAGGAGACCGAAAGGAGGGTGGTCAAAAAATTGAGTCCAAGGAGCTGGCCATTCAGTTGATTAGAGTGTTGTGTTATGACACCAGGGTCAATGGTTCAGATCCTTTTACCGGCCAGCCGCCAAAAAAAAGTCGAGTCCAGGAAGATGGGCCAAGTCTGAAGCTGTCCACAGAGCCAGGCCATATAAAGAGGTCCAGGAAAAGGACTAAAAGGAGGCTACTGGGTTTGACAGTCAGGATGTCATCGGTGACCTTGGTGAGAGCAGCCATGGGAGACTGAGGTGTGGGTGGTTCTGCACATGGAGACTGAAGTCTGCACCTTCAACAGTCTTGTCAACGAAAGCAAAAGGAGGATAGAGCAGGAGCCAGAATGAAAAACTGGGAGTTGGGGTTTGTTTTTAAGACTGATGGAGGACTGAGCAAATTTTTGATAAAGAGAATGGAAAAAAGGAGAGGGATAAATTGAAATTTGTGGGGACAAGTGAATAAAGTAACGGTGAGTTGGGGCAGAAGAGGTAAGGATGGGTTACAGGTGATGGTGGAGGTGGCCAGGTGCCTGTGAGGACTGGGGGCCACAAGGGCAGGGGAGTTGGTTGAGAATGTAACAAATGAGTGCTGTAAAGGTTTGCAATACCCTCCATAGAGAGGGGGGATAGCAGCTGACTAGGACTGTAGCAAAAAGGGCCTGGCAGAGACCGGAACTGTCAACGTGTAATGCCACTTTCATCAGCCTGGAGGGGAGGGGGAGCAACGCACACCAGCGCTCTGCTGGGCACCTACCAGCCACACTGCATCAGAGCAGTCCAGGTGAAAGCAGCCAGGTGGTTGAATTCATCCTGGGTGGGACTCCATTCAGTACAGATGGCAGAGGAACAAGGGGGCAGAGGAACTTAGTGGGCTGCTGAGCTTGTCTTGGAAGTGGTGTCCCCTGGGGGAGGGAAGCAAAGGCAGGGATGGTCAGGAGGGCTCAAGGGAGTGGGCATTTCACTGAGAAAGAGCTGTTCCCTTGGGACTGGGGAGAGTGATAGCTAGTAGTGGAAGCGGCTGTGATCAGGGTGGGTTGTCGGGGGTGGAGCAGTCTCATGTCCAGAGTTGGGGCGTAGGAGTAGGGTGCTGCTGTGCTGTGGAGTACAGGAACGAGGCGAGAAGGGGACCACCTCCTTCCTAGAGGCCTTTCTTTACTAAGCCCCCTTGGGGTAGTCTGTAATCAGGTCCACCTTTTCTTTCCTGAAAAGGGTACTCCTGGCTTCAGCACCTCCAAGAAGCTGGACAAGCTGGGGATGAGGGGCTCTAACACCTGTGAGCTAATCTTTGAAGACTGCAAGGTTTCTGGTAAGTGTCTCTGAGAATGGGGGGGCCCCTGACCTGACCCCTTCACAAGCTGGAAAGGCCCATCTCTTAGTTAGAGAGGCTTGCTTTGTTAGCTGACAGTGCCATTTGTCTAGACTGTGGGCCTGGGGCTGCTGGACAGCTGTCCTTCCTGGCCAGAGCCCCTGTAGCTACATGGCTGATTGGCTGAGATGAAGGGTGGTGTTTCTGAGGTGGGTAACACACTCTGCCTTGGGCTTTGTAGTCCAGGAGCTGGAGGAAAAAAGTAAGATCTATCCCAGCCCACTAACATCCTTCATACTTCCTGTACATTTGCCTGTACAGCATGTGTGAGTTATTCATTAATGATACTAGAGACCCATCTGAATAAACTGATGGAAGCCAGGCTCAGTGAGGAAAGGCAGTTCAGTTTGAGTGCGAGTTATTTTCTCCCCTGAGGCGTAACTGAACATATGATACAAACAGTCCCATGTGAGAGCCAGCACACCCATCATGTGCTAACAAGACCAAGGTCACAGAGGTGATCACTAGCCAGGTTTGCTCTGTGCCTCAGCCGTAGATCATCCATCTTCCCACGATCCACCAGCCCAGAAAAGTATGCTTTGGTTTCAAGGAGCTTCTAGGGAGAGGAATCTTTGCAGATCCTTCTTTGTCGACAGGAAAAAATTCAGCCACATTAAAGGCAGGTCAGTGGAGTCAACTTTTTGTGCTCAGTTTCCTGCCCACACCTCCCAGGGCCATGCAGTGTCCTGGCTTACTGGGTGGAGGTACTCAGCAGCTTCCGTCACTAGCACTGAATGGCCCATCTCCTGGACAAAGAAGCTTTCATGGACCAACCTGCAGGGAAGTGACTGGCCCAGAGCAGACTCAACCTGAGGGAAAAAAACCAATTTTCTGGTTCCTTTGTAGAAACAGGTGTAGAAAGACCAGCAGGGCGTGGGGAGGGGGTGACTTCTAGGCCAATTAGCTTTTCTTTTTTCCCACCCAAGGAAGTCCAGGGAGAGAAGAGAAAGGTCTAACAGCTTGGGGCCTTGTGTCTAGTCTTAATGATGGGGTGAGGGTCCTGCAAGCTCCACTTTTTTTTTTTTTTTTTTTTTTTTAAAAGATGACCGGTAAGGGGATCTTAACCCTTGACTATAACTTCGTATAATGTATGCTATACGAAGTTATTACGGAGGACGCCCCCAGATCCAGCGCCCCGGCACGCACACCGCCGGTGGCTGCAGGCATCGAAGGCGGGTGGCGGGCGGTCACCGCTGATTGGCTTGGGCGGCAGCCAAGGGCGGCGCGGCCTCCAGGGATTTCCGGAGGGTGATTGGCTGCTGGAGACTCGCCCCTCTCGCCGACTGGGCGGGCCAACGAAGCCCGGATTGGTGGAGCCGGAAAAGCTGGCTCAATTGCACCTCTGGCTCCCGCTGCAAGGCAGAGATGGCGACTGCGACTCGGCTGCTTGGGCGGCGTGTGGCGAGGGGGCGGCCGTGGCTGAGCCACGGGCCGGCCCCGACTGCAAGCTCCACTTCTGACTGGAAGTGGTAGGCTCCATCCTTTTCTTTCTCACCCGGAACCCTCATCAAAGGTCAAGTGACATATTTTAGTGCCTTTTCTGAGAACCAGGTTATCAAACTTAGTATCTTTTATAAAAGTGAGGAGGCTGTGGACAACCCTCTCCCTCTGACCAGCACTTATCCCCGCAGCTGCCAACATCCTGGGCCATCTGAGTAAGGGCGTCTACGTGCTGATGAGTGGGCTGGACCTGGAGCGGCTGGTGCTGGCTGCTGGGCCCCTCGGGTAAGTGTGAGGCTGCAGGGGTGGGAAGAGCTGGGCTCTTTCAGCCTCCTTGGAGGTGGTGCTATCCTAAGCAGCCTTCCCCTTCGGGGGCCAAAGGGAGCCGCCTCCTGCCCACTGCACTCTCTCCTGGAGACAGGAAGGATCTCCTTCCATGTTTAAGGGAAATATCATCAGGTGACAGACAAAAGGCCTGAGGAGCAGTACTGCTTAGTTAAATCAGGATGTGAACTGAGACGCCTGGGCTCTCAGGGTGTCTACTGCACAGGTCCTGAGGAAGGGGCGCAAGAGCTGGGCAGTCCATGCCGTAGCTGAGCAGGGCTACAAGTTTCTCAGACTTCTCCTGTTCCTTACCCTGCTGAGCTCTCCCTCCCAGCCTTTCCACTCTGTTTGGCAGTGGTGGGACAGTGAGTCCCCTCTAGTGTCTTCCTCCTCTCCTGCAGGCTCATGCAAGCCGTCCTGGACCACACCATTCCCTATCTGCACATGAGGGAAGCCTTTGGCCAGAAGATCGGCCACTTCCAGGTGAATGGCATACTTTTGCTGAAATGAACTTTCATTGAGCTGAAGTCTTCTTTAAAGAATGAGGAAGTGGGGCAGGTACTGTGGGACATCTACATCCTTCTCTAGCGAAGTGAGTTTTGAATGCTTGGAGTGCAGGCTTCAGCATGCAGCCTGGCTTTGGAAGTTTTCAGGAAGTTCATCATATTGTCACCTCAGTTTCTGTTTGAGATGAACGGACTAGACATCATATGGTTGGAGGGTGAAGCATGCAGGTTGTACGGGGCACAGGGGACAGGGAGTGGTATTTCTAGTCAGACCGTCTGGTCTGAAGAAGCTGCAGGGAGTTGTTGACGGCTGTGGTAGATGGTGCCTCTCAGGGAGGCAAGGCCATTTCAGGGTAGAGTGTTCACAGTGGGACGGCAGCTCTCTGGCCTTAACTCTCATCCCAGGTAAGTCCCATTCCCCACATGCCCTCGCTTCCCCTGGCCCAGCTGTCAGGGTGTCATTGCTGACCTGCTTGAGGTAACTAGGAAGAGTGTTCCAGCATATTGACTTGTGACCTCTCTTGGTGCCCAGCTGATGCAGGGGAAGATGGCCGACATGTACACCCGCCTCATGGCATGCCGGCAGTATGTGTACAACGTTGCCAGGGCCTGTGATGAGGGCCACTGCACTGCCAAGGTGAGGGCCAGCCCCAGAGGAGGGAGAGGCTGGGGCAGGGGTCGGCTGCAGGGCCTCACTCTCTGCATGCCTGGCAGGGCCCTGCTGACCCAAGCCTCCTCCCTAGGACTGCGCGGGGGTGATTCTTTACTCGGCTGAGTGCGCCACACAGGTAGCCCTGGACGGCATTCAGTGTTTTGGTGAGTGGCCCCACTCCCCACTCCCAGACCTGCCCTCACTCGAGCCTGTGGCTGCCTCGGGAAGATGTTCCCTCTACTCTCAAGCTGCTTAAGCTAGGCACAGCTGAACTGGTACCTTTAGGCTGTGTCTGCCCCAATTGTGAGGAGGAAGTAGAAAAGCAAATGAGAAAACTGCTAGAGGCCACAAGTTGCCTTTCCCTTCAGCACCCACTCTCCCCACCTGCTCTTGGGCACACTAGGAAATAGGGAAAGGGGTGCCGCCGAGGTGGAGCAGCCTCGTCACAATGCTGCACAATGGTTAAGAGCACACACTTGAGCCAGACAACTGAGGCTTGGACCCTAGCTCTGCTATGCCACTATCTTCTTGTCCCTTTTCCATGTCTGCCAGTGGGTCTCTCATCTCTCTGCCTGGTATCCTTGGCAGTCTGGGTGGCCTTCCAGCCCCAGACCCTTGCCTACCCTGCCCCCAACAAGGTACTGTAGCTTCCCCTTATCCAAGGTTTTGCTTTCCATGTTTTCAGTTACCCGTGGTCCAAAAATATTAAGTGTAAAATTCCATAAATAAACAATTCATAAGTTTTAAATCGCATGCAGTTTTGACTAGCATGATGAAATCTCAACACTGTCTTGCTCTGTCCCACCGAGGCATGAATCGTCCCTTTGTTCTGTGAGTCCAATAAGTTATCGTTGTTAATCTCTTACGGTGCCTAATTTATAAATTAAACTTTATCATAGGTATGTATATTTAGGAAAAAACATGGTATATATAGGTTTTGGTACTATCCGTGGTTTCAGGCATCCACTGGGGGTTTTGGATCGTACCCCCCACCTCCCACTACCCTTGCAGCTTCTCTTTAATCAGTCTGTGCTTCCATGGCCTGTTTCTGTGTACTGTACTTGGCCTCTGCTTTCTTTGCTTTGCCCACTGCCCATGACTTCTGTTCTTTCTTCTCTGCCCAAACCCTGGTTGCAGGTGGCAATGGCTACATCAACGACTTTCCCATGGGCCGCTTTCTTCGAGATGCCAAGCTGTATGAGATCGGGGCTGGGACCAGTGAGGTGAGGCGACTGGTCATCGGCAGAGCCTTCAATGCAGACTTTCACTAGACCCAGGACTTCACCCCCTTTTCCCAGCACCTGGAGGCCTTCCTTTGGAAGTGGACACCCACGGCAGCCCCTATTGCTCAGCTGCCCTTCTTGCCTTAGCCCTGTGGCCTTTGCATGAGATTGAGTTCTCCACAATGGCTGCCAAGCCCTGTGGGCCTCATGGCTGGACCAACCAGCCAGGACGGTGTTCAGTGGCTTAAAATGAACTCGGCAGGAGGCATACTGGCTTTTCTGGGGGTTGTTAGGATGGGCTTTGGTGACTCTGTGCCCTTCCTCTCTAACTTCCAAGCCTGATGCTCCTATTTCCAAGCGCAGACGTCTGGGGGTGTGCAGGCACCCACCCCTTTCTCTTGGGTGAGCCTCAGACAGGGAGCCCTCTCTGCTCAAGTACAGCAAAAGCATTGCCTCATCCATTTACTGGAACTTGGTAGTCTCTTTTCTAAGGGGTAAAAAGCCAAAAACCTAGCCCTTGTTTCTGCCAGTTTCTAGAGGCATTGGCTCCCAACTGCTTGTGAACACCTGTGCTGCAATGAGTCCGCAGTGGGGCAGAAGGCAGCAAGCTTTTGAGATCAGCTCAACACTGGCCTCCTTGGCAGCACCTCTGAGCCCTTCCGCATTGCTCTGCCACAGGCACTACCCAGTCCTGGCCACGTGACCATCTGCAGCGGACTGGGCAGCAGGGACAGGCCCTGCCCAAGCAGGCCTGAGTTGGCTGGCTCCAGTCAGCCGAGGCTGCCTGCATACATTTCTCTAGACACCCTAACACTAATTTTGTTACAACTGCATAGCGGCTGCTGCCATTTTGTATTTAATACATCGTGAAGCAAATCCACCTGCTTCTAAAGCAGTTTTTGGGGAGAAGCAATCAACTTGCTGCTGCCTCCTGTCTGGATCCAGCGTGTGTCCTTGGAGAGTGGCTGATCTGGGTCCTATTTCTGCCCTCCAGCCTACTCTTTGGTAGTGGGTGAAAAGAGGGTAGAACCATCATCCCTTAGGATAGAGAAGGTCTCAGCCTCCCTTTCCCAGATCTCCCAGTGATTTTTAAAGAAAGGAGAGAGCCCAGAGTGGAAGGGTCTTGGAATTAGAAAGAAGCTTATATATTTCTGGAAGTCATCCCTAAGTTTTTTAAAAGATCAAGACAATCTGACTTTCTCAAGGTCAGAACTGGAGCTAGAATCCAGATCTGCTAGCGGCAAAAAAAATGGGGGTGATTTCAGAGAGAATTCTAGTTTGGAGCCCCACTGCACAGCAACCTGGATGGAGCATGGTCTGAGAGTGGAATGGGTCTGGGTTGTTCCACCCCTTCTAAGTTTCTAGAAGAGGGAACTGGTTTTCTTGGCTTCCTAAAAGAAAGCAGATTTTCCTAGCTCCCAGCCCAGCTGCTCCTGGTCCTGGCTTTTGGTCCTGGCCTGTGGCCAAGTGCCATTGCCAGTATGAGGCTTGACACAGGTGAGGTTAGCTCCTCACCAGCCCCAGCCCAGTCCCATCCAGGGCTCACACGCTGTCTGTTCACTTCTTCATCCTGCCCCCTGCTGTGTTGGAGATGAGTATGACCAAAATGATCTTTCTGGGTCAATGTGTAGCTGGAACGACCAGATGGAGACACGTGACACAATGGGCGGTTGTGTCCACCAGAGCCCTGCCAACTTGGGGAGAGGGTGCTTGTTCTCCTGATGCTATGTGTGAAGTAGAAAAATGTTTAAAAATAAAACTAAAAAACAAAGTGAACTGTGTAGCACGAGTGGTAAATGGGAGAGCAGGGCTATTTCTACTTTGGTTCCGGTGGCAGTTTTTGCTCGTCTGTGTGTATTGTGCAAGTCTACAGCACCAGCTGCCGGCACTGCTCCTTCCTGGGGCCGCCTCTGATTCCACTCCAATTTTAGGCTGGTCATACTATGAGCCCGGGGCTCCTACTGACACTGCCTGTCCTGCGGGAGGGCGACAGAAGCTGATGAAATGTTTAAGTGGTCTGGGCACACCCCTTATCAGAATTTGGCCACGCGTATAAAATGCAGACTGCTGGTGCGGGACCCAGGCCTAACCACGTCCCCAGGGTGAGTGGTTCTGAGGCACCACAACCTTTTACGACAGCCGATCTGGGGTCTAGAGGGGGCTTCCCCAGAGGCCTGAGTCCTAATTCTGAAGCAAGTGATAAGAATCCCTCGACTATGTAACCCTCTCAAGTCTCCTTTGACATATTAGCTCCTTGATCTGCGAGACAACCGGGTGCGTGCGGGCGGCCAGGTTGTACAGGGCTCCCTTTCTGGAGACCGGTATGAAGCACTCAGCGACGTTTTATTGTGTCAAATGAGGACATTAAAGGGGGAGGGGGAACGGGGGAAGAAGGCTATCCTCTATCACCATCATTTCACACAAGAAAGGCCACTTTTTAAAAATTCATAATATTTTAACATTTACTTGTACACATTTGTGGGGTACAGTGTGTGTTGTTTGTATTCATGGGTTTAGTCCACAGTGATTCACTTCAGGTAGATGGCATAGTTTTGTAGCCATTAATTAGTCCACCACTTCTCCTCCCAGAAAAGCCGCTTCTAATAGTTAAAAAGAAAAGACAAACTCAGAACATGTTAGTAGTTTTTATTTTAAAATTTTTGTATATGCTTTGTGTTCATGGTTTTAAAAATATTAGGGCTGGGGGTTACCAGGTTAGAGCATGGTGTTAATAACGCCAAGTTCCAGGGTTCAATTCCTCTACCCACCAGCTGCAAAATGTGTGTGTGTGTGTGTACATATATACATACACATATATTGTTTTTAAAAGCTTATTTAAAAAACTGTCCCTTGTCCCTCCCACTTCCATTCCCACTCCCACTCCCAGGACAAAACCATTTTTGAATCTTTAAGAGTTTTCTTTTGGCAATTCATTTCATGCCTCTAAGTGATATGCTTACTTATTGATTTAATCGTAGACTCCTAAGGATAGTTCCTTGAAATGCATACATTTGATTAATGAGTTCATTACGTGCTTATATATTTTTTCACTTCCGCAGACCAGCCCTGTCCTCCAGCCAGTTTTTGGGAGCCCCGGATTAGATGGTGCTATCCCCTGCCCCTGGCCACACTCAGTGCGCCTCTGTGCCCAGAGTCCAGAGTCACACAAGCGCAGGGTGGGAGTTCTCCTCTTCCTGTGTGTTCCACCTGGTTGCTCTCCCAGGGAGCCCTTAGAGAATTTGGCCCCTCCTACACTCACCACCCATCCACTCTCAGACAGAGGCTGGGCTGGTACCTCTTAAATATTTCTTGCATCCACAACAACCTGCCTACTTGCCTCACTTCTTCCAGTCCACGCCCCTCAACCCTTCCTCTGTACTGAGCCAGAGTGAACGATCACGCTCCCCCTAAATACTTTAGTGGCTCCCAGCACTTCTAAGACCTAAGGGTTTGAAAGGCAAATACTCTGATCCACCTTGGCCTTCCCCTCCTGCTCCCCTCCTTTCCTGCCGAACGCTGTGTTCTTGTTGCAAGCAGCCCTCATTGCTGTTTCTTACCCCTGTGCTTTTGCCCCAGCTGGTCTCTCTGTCCTGGAAGTCCTTCCAGTCCTTCACCTTGCTCTTGCTCCCCTATTCCTAAGGCCTCAGTCCAGGGCCTGCCTCCTTCAGGAAGACCTCCCTTCCCCATCCTTTCCCCACTTCTCTGTCCCCATCTCACCCATCCTGGGTGGGTCCCCTTCCTCCTTCCTGGGCATATCAGCATCAAAGAGCTTGCCACACTGGGCCGAGCCCGTGGTGCACTCGGGAGAGTGCAGCGCTGGGAGCACAGCAGCACTCCCGCCACGGGTTCGGACCCTATATAGGGATGACCGGTTTGCTCACAGCGCTCACTGGCCGGTCTCAAAAAAAAGGACAAAAAAAAAAAAAAAAAAGAGCTTGCCACACAATTGTATGTATTACATATTTGTCTGTTTCCCTGCTTTAGGCTATGAACTTGAGGGCCAGGACTGTGATTTAACTGTCTTTATATGATCACTATCCAGCACAGTTCATGGCATATAATATGTACTCAACAAAGTTGATCGAGAGAGTAGATGAGTAGTCATGTGATATTTAGCTTACATTTTGCTGGCTACATAGTCATTTTTGTATGTGGTCACCTCTGAGTATACTGTAAGATCTTGAAGTCAAAGACCTATCTCTCAGGCTAGCTGGTTAGCTCAGTTGGTTAGAGCACAGTGTTATAACACCAAGGTCAGGGATCAGATCTCCATACCAGCTAGCCACCAAAAAAAAAAAAAGAAAGAAAAGAAAAAAAAAGACCAAAAGACCATCTCACTTATCTGAACCCTCCCAATAGCACCCAGTGCTCATAGTAAGCACTCAGTGGCTATGTTCATGCTGAATGAGTGAAACAACAGGTGGGCCAGAGCCCTGGCTTAATCCCCAGCATTGGCAGAAACAGCAGGGCCAGCCGGCTTCTCCTGGCCTGCTCTCCCCAGGCCTTCCCACCCTGGAGTAGCCAGGGCCCAGCTGCAGAAGGGAGGCCCTCACCCGCTATGTTCCTCTGACCCACTCAGAAACAGAAGAAAGGAGCTGTAATAAGGGAACCTGGCCCCCCTCTGCCAGCCAAGGATGAGAATAGGGGCTGGATGGAGAAAGGGGACAGAGCAGAGCCACACACCATCCTTTTTTTTTCTTGTGTAAAATGTGCTGAGATATCCCTGGGTCCAGAATGGTATGTATGAAAGAGTATGTAACATGCATATATGCAGTGTAAAAAATAATGAAACAAAATCCCATGTACCCAGCTCCCAGGACAATGAAGAGAACATTCCAAGTAGCCTGAAGCCCATGTGCCTCTCCTTGACATATTCTCCCCAGAGTAGTGATACTCTCCCCTTCCCTTTCTTTTTTTTTTTTTTTTTTTTTTTTTTGACCGGTAAGGGGATCTTAACCCTTGGCTTGGTGTTGTCAGCACCACGCTCAGCCAGTGAGCGAACCGGCCATCCCTATATGGGATCCGAACCCGTGGCCTTGGTGTTATCAGCACCGCACTCTCTCGAGTGAGCCACAGGCCGGCCCTCCCCTTCCCTTTCTTTATGGCTTCCTACCTCTGTATGTATACCTAAACAATATTGTTTAGGTTGCCTGTTTTTAAACTTTTTACAGTTGGACTCATACTATATATCTTCTGCTGTGTCTTGCTTCTTTGGTTCATCATTGTTAAAGATTCGTTCATGTTAAGGAGCAGAACTGTAATCTGTTCAATTTTTTTCTTGTGTAGTATTCCATTGTGCAGAAATACAACTTAATTATCCATTCTACTTTGATGGACATCTGGGTGGTTTCCAGCTTGGGGCTACTGTAAAACATTCCTATAGGTTTCTTCTGGTGCCTCTGTGCATGTTCCCCCAGGTACATTCCCAGGAATGAAATTTCTCTGTTGTAGGGTATGCACCTGATCAAATTTACTGGGTAATTTAAGACTGTTTTCCAAAGTAGTTGTGTCTATATTTTTTAGAATGATGCCACCAGAGATGACTCAGGGCAAAGGGGGCATTCCAGCCCCAGGGCCAACCCCATGAGGTTATTTTCAGCAAAGGGGAGAAGTCAGATGGCCTGAAAGTGTGTATGGCTGCTTCCCTGGCAAGGCCCATAAACCACATGATCAACAAACCTTTACAGACAAGCTGCAAAGAGTTGTGCACTGGGCCAAGGGCTGGGGAGACAGAGATGAGTTAGCACAGACCAGCCTCAGAGAGGGACGATTATGCTTCCAGTTACTCTGCCAGGCAGCCTGACAGTCCAGCCTTGTCCTGGAAGAGAGAATGAGGGCTGGATGGGTAAGTGGGAATTTTCTTGAAGTGAGGAAAGCTATTCTGGACCCAGGGATATCTCAGCACAGGCAGTATCTCCCCTCCTTGAAGGTGGACAGTGGGTCAGTGGAGGA